GACATTCGATATGGTGGGGCTATAATAGAAACGTCATATGATTCCACCCGGAAGACTTCGGTTTTGAAACGCACCCGTCGTGCTGATTCCTTTCAAGAAATCGCATGGCCTGCAAGTACGTCCATTGCGGCCCCGAAGCAGATCCCGTAGTTGGATTGTTTTTCCTTCGATACGTGTCTTTCAAGTTTTTCCACATATTCTTGAGCTCCGCCACTGAATTTTTGACAGTAATCCACGAATGGCACTAATGTTCAAGATCCCAGACGGGAACTATGGCATACCGTTAGTTCTGTGGCCTAGACATTCCAAATCCTGCATAATGCGCTCCCATGCGCTTTCAACTCGATCTCTTCTGCCGTAATCAGGCGCGCCCTTATACCAAATGCACTCTTCCATTTCCATCAGGTCGATTAGTCGAGCACGCAACGAAACATGAGCGGGCATCCTTTGAGCACACCACTGTAATGTTCTACAACTGCGTTGTGTTACGCGAATGCGTTGTGTTACCAAGCATATATGTAGTGTTGCGTGTAATGTTCATATAATTGTGTTGACTGTTATCTCCTGATTGAATGTAATGAAAGAAAGGTGAAGGTAAAAGATGGTGAGGTAAACAAAGGTAAGTAAACAAGAGTTAAGAACCCCACAAACAAATCAGGCACAATATTACTGGTTCCAAACACTTTGTTGCAACGTGATTAGGCGACAAACACTATTACTTTTTATCTCTGTGCAAGACAAGCAAACAAACGGTGCAAACAGAAACTAATCACCATATACATCCCACTACCACCCCTTCCACACTTTGAATGGGTGCATTACAACCACAACAAAATCACTACATGCAGAGAACATTTCGCACTATTAAGCGTTGACCCTGCTCTACTTCTACAACAAGTATGAAAGCTCTACGAAACATGGTCACTACTTCTTCTCTTCTTCTTCGCGTTCAGCTTTCAACGGCACGCAGACACCACCTGCTTTTAGCATACCCTAGACAATAGATTCCATGTTCGGTCTCATTGAAACCTAGGCGCGTTCGAATAACTGCCTGTTGTTCATCTGTCATAGAGGTTGCTACGATGGAACTTGTTTATTCGGTCGACTTTCGACGCCGTCTTCTTTAGGACTTCCGCGGCCTCAACACCGCCAGGAATCCACTCACTTTCTTGGACAGTCGCGCATGAAATCCCTTCTTCAGGCCGGATAAATAAATTCCAAGGCAGAAGTACAGCATGCAATATTCCCAACACCCCTCTAGCTCTATTTTTCCTTACAACAGGTGTTCATGATAAATAAATAACGAAATAAATGAATTAATGAATCGACATTAATCATTAATGAATTGACAAACATCGCAATTCGAAAACGCAGCTCACCGTACAATCCTTACTGAATTTGAGGGTCCCCACATCAGCTGACAACCTAGTACGAACGAGATCCGACGCAT